TTTTTTTTTTTTTTTTTTTTTTCCCTAGACAAAACCAGCCTCATTCTTGTAAGTTTTTCTTGCAGGTGATGTTTAGCAGCACAGTGGTAAATGTTGTTGATGTCACTGGTATCCTCTCTGTCAGGTCTGCAATTTTCTTGACTTGTGATGATTCAAACTCAATATGATCCTTCAGCAGAGACCTGACCATTGCCAAGTTGATGGAAGGATCAGGTCACTCAACTTACAAATACTACTGCTGCTCCTATGTTCCAGTATGGCTTTGTCCTATGTCCAACAGTGACTTTGTTTTTAACTCACATTCTGGCTGTAACCTGCTGGAATCCTTGCATTCCTTTGTCCAGGCTATTGACTTGTCTTCAGTTGCCTGTCTTTGCCATTGATTATTGGTACATTCCAGGAGGAGTCTGTCAATGTCTATAAAAATTTGAAGGGATGTAGTATAGAGGATGGAGACAAACTTTCATCTGTGATGTCCAGGGAAAGGAAAAAGGGCAATGGGCACAAATTGAAACATTCTACATTTAATTTTACTGAAAACCCATTTTACTGATCAAACACTGGAACAGTTGCCCAGAGATGCTGTGGAGTCCTCATCCCTTGAGGTACTAAAAACCTTACTGCCCATGGTCTTGGGCAGACTGCTTGAGGTTACCTTGTCTGAGCAGGATATCGGACTAGGAGACATCTAGATGTGCCTTCCAGCCTCAGCCATCCTATGATAAGTTTGGTACCTGGCAGCTGTCTTTATTAAACTTCACCCTGAATGTTGAGGGACAACTCCAGGAAAACATCTCACTTTATTCCTTGGTCCAGTGCCTGTTAATCGGCTGTGTGCCACAAGAATGAAGGAATAGGGATGCAAGACAGGCTTTGGAGTTTGTGTTTTGGGGACAGAGCAGATGTTTGTGGGTTTTTTAAAAGCAAATAGGCTTATCGTATCCATGTAGCAAGATGCACGTTGGGCTTTTTTTGGGCTGCTGAACTTGCTGACCTCTCATCTGTTGATATCCTAATTA